TGAATCCTTTCAAGAGCTCTGTCAGGCAGATACCATTTTGCAGACTGAGGAAATTCAGGCTTCTATTAGGATCAGACAATTAGCCAGTGGCACAGTTGGGCATCCTTTTCAGAGCTGAAGCTTTTAACTGCTGGTGGACAAAAACGTCACAGGTTTAGGGCATCTGGACTAATTCTAGTTTCCACGTCTGGTGGGGCTGAGCCTGGGTGCATGGTGTCTGCCTGGTTCATCGCAGCAGGGCTGGCCTGGGGAGAGGGCAGTGAGGAGGAGATCCTTCTTGAGCGCCGAGCGCAGACGATGTGTTCTCTCTCCAGTGACTGATGGTGAGATTTGCTGCTCTGGGGTTGCTGTGGTGTCACTCCTGAACTTGGGGCCGGTCCGTCGTGCATTCTCTCTAGGTGCTCTGCTTTTGTGGGTGGGCTCTGCAATCTAGCCTAGGGGTAAATGTCATGGTATCTTGATCCAGATGTGTGATCTTGGGTAATTTAGTTTCCTCAGCCTCAGTTTCCTTGTTTTTAAAGGGGGCTGTGATGAGTATGTGTGAGTTCATGTCCCTAGAAGTGCTTAGCATAGCGCCTGGCACCGCATCAAGTGCCCAATAATTGATGACTGCTATTATTAGCTGTTAGCCATCAGCTAGTGAGTCTAGGGGAGACCTTCAACTTTAAAACACTTGAAGTACTGCCAGCCTGGGCCACGGGGCTGGGCACTGTGATTGAGCCTGGGGAAAGCTCTGGGAGAGCAAAAGTATCTTCCCAGAGAAGGGGGCAGACACAGAAGAAGGTACTGTTGGGCAGTAATCGGAGTAATCAGGGGACCATATGCACCAGATCTGGAGATATTTTCTTCTGGCTTTAGACCACCACTCGCCTCAACACTCAATGGAATGGGGGCATTTCAAAGAAAGGGACCAGAATGGAAGAAGGATCCAACCTTCAGGCATTTGCTGATTGATTATCTGTTGAAACTGATATTCTTCTCCCTATTTTCATCTGCTGGGCATGTTAAAAGCTTTCAGGTTTCAGCTGGTTCTGCTGTGTCAGGTAATCAAAAGATGCTCTTACATGGAGGGCTGGTTGGCTAAATGGGATTAGGGCCTCTTTGGGAGTCCCATCTGTTCTGTCCCTACCTGAAGGCCTTGGCGCCAGGATTTGGAGGAAGCTGCTAGGATGAAGCATCTGTCCAGTGGGGGCGGGATGAGTGGCCTGGGGTAGGTGGGTCAGATGGAGGCCAGGAAATCCTCTTATCTCGCTGGGTGCCCATGCCTCCCTCAGCAGCAGGAGCTGAGCAGCAAACCCTGGTGAGTCAGCGTGCCTGGGAATTAGAGTTGCCAGTCTGTGAGCATGTGGGGTTTGTGTAAGTTTGGGCCTTTTGTTTCTTTCAGCATTCTAGTCTTTAGAAACACAAATCTGGAAACCAGGCCCTCCACATGGTACAGTCCTTGTTTTGAAATAATTCAGCTCACACAGTTGCTTCCCTTGTACCATGGTCTTCCAAGAATTAACCCCTTGCCATTTGAAATTGTAATGAGTTGTACTTATGGCTTACTAGCTGTAGTCTTAAAGCATAAAAAGTCTTTTAAAAAACTTAGGATGGTTATTTTCCATACCAAAAGCCCTTATAAGAGCTTCAGTGTATTTCTGAAGCCCAAGTAAAACTACAAGTCTTTGAGGGCATGTTTGGACATGTATTTTTGTCATTGTTCTCTTTGTGGGTGGAGAAGGGGACAGGCCTTGATATGACTAATCTCTAATAACTACAGGAATGATTGTGCTCTTCATTTTAAACTTATTGTATACTCAGAGCTTATCCTCAGAGAATTTCTCTTGAAGACGACCCCCAATTTATCCAGGCACTATTTAGAGGAAGCCAAGTATTTTAGGCAAAGTTTAAAGCTCCAGCCTTTCGTAAAAAACACCCTTCTGTCCCACTGCACGTTCTCTAAGATCTTTCAGTTTGGATCATAGACGTCCATGAAAGCTCCCTGGACCTGGGGAGGCCCGGGTGACTGACTTTGACTTCTGTTTAGTGTCTGTTTCCTGCTACACTTCTGGCTCCTGGTCCACATTTCATTAACGACGTAATTTCAGTGACTGCCATTATAGCAGTTGGCAAAGCTTTATAAATACTAAATTGTACATGGGTTTTCCAACAAACTGGTTGAAGATAGGAATAAGAGTCCTGAGTAGCCAGAGTCGTCTTAGAGAAATCACCTAGCTTCTGGCTTAGAAATGTCTGGCAATTTGTTTAAAAAAAAAGTTTAAATTACATAAATAATTAATAAACCACCATGATGAGTTTGTAATGTATCAGTACAAACTTTTCTTTTTCATTTAGCAATTATCCTACCATTTAGAGATTGCATTTGGGGAAATCTGTCCTTCTTTTCTTTTTCTATTTTTTCCCAATTTTTTCAGCTTTTTCTTTTTTTTTCTGAATATTCTGAGCATTTTTATTTATTTATTTTTGGTAACTTTTTTTTTTAGTTTTTATTTTAGGTTTGGGGGTAATGTTAAGGTTTGTTACACAGGTAAAGTGTCATGGGGGTTCGTTGTACATATTATTTCATCACCCAGGTATTAAGTCCAGAGCCCAGTAATTATCTTTTCTGCTCCTCTCCGTCCTCCCACCCTCTACCCTCCACCCTCAAGTAGACCCCAGTGTCTGTTATTTCCTTCTTTGTGTTCATAAGTTCTCATCATTTAGCTCCCACTTTATAAGTGAGAAAATGTGGTATTTGGTTTTCTGTCCCTGCATTAGTTTGCTGAGGATCATAGCCTCCAGCTCCACCTGTGTTCCCACAAAAGACATGATCTCGTTCTTTTTTATGGCTGCATAGCATTCCATGGTATATATGGACCGCATTTTCTTTATCCAGTCTATCACTGATGGGCACTTAGGTTGATTCCACATCTTTGCTGTTGTGAATAAATGCTGCAGTGAACATTCGCATTCGTGTGTCTTTGTGGCAGAATGGTTTTTATTCATCTGGGTATATACCCAGTAATGGGGTTGCTAGTTCGAATGTAGTTCTGCTTTTAGCTCTTTGAGGAATCATCATACTGCTTTCCACAGTGGTTGAAGTAATTTACACTCCCACCAACAGTGTATAAGTGTTCCCTTTTCTCTACAACCTTACCAGCACCTGTTATTTTTTTGACTTTTTAATAACAGCCATTTTGACTGGTGTGAGACGGTATCTCATTGTGGTTTTGATTTGTATTTCTCTAATGATCAGTGATATTTAACTTTTTTCATATGCTTGTTGGCCACATGTATGTCTTCTTTTGAGAAGTGTCTATTCATGTACTTTGCCCACTTTTTAATGGGGTTGTTTTTCTCTTGTAAATTTAAGTTCCTTATAGATGCTGGATATTAGACCTTTGTCAGATGCATAGTTTGCAAATTTCTTCTTCCATTCTGTAGGAATCTCTTCATAGTTTCTTTTGCTATCTCTTGATAGTTTTTTTTGCTGTGCAGAAGCTCTGAAGTTTAATTATTATAGAGCCCACTTGTCAATTTTTGCTTTTGTTTTGATTGCTTTTGGTGTCTTGGTTATGAAATCTTTGCTTGGTTTTATGTCCAGGATGGTATTGCCTAGGTTGTCTTCTAAGGTTTTTATAGTTTGGGGTTTTTACATTTAAGTCTTTAATCCATCTTGAGTTGAATTTTGTATATGGCGTAAAGGAGTCCAGCCTTAGTCTTCTGCATATGGCTAGCCGGTTATCCCAGTACCGTTTATTGAATAGGGAGTCTTTTCCCCATTGCTCGTTTTTGTCAGCTTTGTTGAAGATCAGATGGTTGTAGATGTGTGGCCTTATTTTTGGACTCTCCATTCGGTTCCATTGGTCTGTGTGCTTGTTTTTATACCAGTAATTTTTTCAATTTTTTTACACAGGGTCTTACTTTGTCACCCAGGCTGCAGTGGGGTGGTGCTATCCCAGCTCACTGCAGCCTTGACCTGGGCTCAGTTGATCCTCCCACCTGAGCCTCCCTTGCAGCTGGGAGTACAGGTGTGCATCACCACACCTGACTAATTTTTTCTATTTTTCGTAGAGTCAGGGTCTTGCTATGTCTCCCAGGCTGGTCACAAACTCCTGGACTCAAGCTATCTGCCTACCCACCTTGGCCTCCCAAAATGTTGAGATTACAGATGTGAACCACTGCAACCGGTCCCAGTCCTTCTTTTAAAGTAGAGACACACTTCTTTGGAAGACTCAGCCTATAGGCCCTATAGGACAATCACATTTATTGTGAACTTGGCTTGCATTCTAAGTACAGCCTTGCTGAGGACCTGGGGGAGAAAAAGAAGCTCCTCGGTTGGGAAACTTGGTGTGGAGTACAGGCTTGGTGGATGGTTTCTACAGGTGGATGGAGTAGGGCAGAGAAAGGGCATTTCACCTACTATGTGGGATAGGCCCAGAAAGGCATCTGGAGAGATCAGAGGCAAATTTCATTTTGCTGCTTGGCTTAGGCCCCTGCTTGTAGTCTTGACAACCTCATCTTTAGGGCATTATGAGACTATTGTTCTGAATATGGCCACCCCTCCTCCCTACTCATCCTACTTAAAAAGAAAATCTGAGAATGTTGGCATTAGGAATTAGAAGATGAACCGTTCCTTTGTGCCTTCTGGCTTAATCCAGGTCCAAATAACTTTTCTTATGTGATGGCAAGTTGGCAAGACAGATTTCCTCTGGAATATTTCTGTCAAACTGTAGTCTTTGATGCATTCTACATATGAATCAGCCTCTTTGAAATCTATGTTACCTTAAGAATTTTAGGAATTTTCCTCATTGGTTCTCCATATGTGCCCCAACCACTGTGTCGCCAAGGTGAAGTTACAGAACTGGCCTATGAAGGAGATGATGAACTCAGGGTCTCTCCCATGGTTTGTTGTTGGCTTACGGAAATAGAGTGGTGAACCACTGTGCACCCTAGAAGGTAGGGTCCGTACCCCATTTCCCCTGCCCAGAGGTGATGGCTTTCTAACTTCCTTCCAGGTTGGCTGGCTCCTCTGGCTGATGGCATGTTGAGGTACATGGGCCAGTGGCAGCGAGGGCATCCGATCCAGAGGGGGCCACTCTAGAGGCTGGGCCACCAGCACCATGGGCCAGTGTGTCACCAAGTGTAAGAATCCCTCATCGACCTTGGGCAGCAAGAATGGAGACCGTGACCCCAGCAACAAGTCACACAGCAGGCGGGGTGCAGGCCACCGTGAGGAGCAGGTACCACCCTGTGGCAAGCCAGGTGGAGATATCCTTGTCAACGGGACCAAGAAGGCTGAGGCTGCCACTGAGGCCTGCCAGCTGCCGACGTCCTCGGGAGATGCTGGGAGGGAGTCCAAGTCCAATGCCGAGGAGTCTTCCTTGCAGAGGTTGGAAGAACTGTTCAGGCGCTACAAGGATGAGCGGGAAGATGCAATTTTGGAGGAAGGCATGGAGCGCTTTTGCAATGACCTATGTGTTGACCCCACAGAATTTCGAGTGCTGCTCTTGGCTTGGAAGTTCCAGGCTGCAACCATGTGCAAATTCACCAGGTCAGTCACAAACACTTTGTGTCACCAGGTGAGCAGTGGTACCCAGCTAGGATAGGACTGGGTTGGCTTCATAGGGTTTTGGGTAAGTTTTTACGTTTTTATTTTTCTGATCAGGTTCTCTAAAGCTTAAATGTTTTGAGCCAAGTTGTGGTTATGATGCTGAGAAGCCCCTCTGGACTCTAAAGGTTTAAAATGTATCTCCCTGGCTCTGCAGCAGACCTACTAAATAGGAATCTCAGAGGGGAAGGCCCGGGCATTTGGATTTTGATTTTGATAAAGATTCGTGTCTGGTTCTAATGTGTACCCCATGTTTTTTTTTTTTTTTTTTTTTTTTTTTTTTTGTGCAGAATATCGCCTTTGCCTAATTCATAGGTCAAATTTCAGGCCTATCCTAGCATTATTTGGCAGCTTCTCAGTAACTGGTCACTGCTCATCTTTGCCTTAAATGAGGAATAAGCCAGGGTGAACCAGGTCGCCAAGTTGCTGCTCAGCCCCACTGCTGCCTTGGACCTTTCTTTTCTTTTACTCCTTTACGTGTCACTCAGTATTTATTGTATGCCCAGCATGTGCCAGGCGCTGTGAGTACCAATACAGTAAGTGCCTCTGGGGAGGGGATATGCCTCTCTCCCTCCATGAAGCCACTTGCCATTTCTAGTACTTAGCATATTGCCCGCCCGCGGCCAGGCCTGTGTGTAACAAGGTCAGTTGGCCTCAGTTACTAAGCAGTAGCTGTGCATATTGTTCTGGTCATGTGTCCCTATAGAATGTGGTTTGTAGAACATGGGGTTATGAATAAGAACTGACTTTGAGACCCAGCCATACAATTTGTAGTTTGCATGCCCCCACCCCAGGAAGGTTACCCTCCAGACCTCAGAGGCCTCACCTCTTCAGCAGATGCTACTGTCCCTGAGAAGATGATCAGTGCGAGACCATGCTGTAAGCTGAAAGCATTGTATAGATGTTAAAAATACATATTTTTTGTTTTTTAATGATAGAATTTTGATCTCTGGTGATAGAATTACCCAGGTTCAGAATCCTTGGCTCCAGAAGTCTCCCTTTGCAGTCACTAAAAGTGTACCCCAAACAAACAACCCCTAGAGAATCAGAAGGGAAGCAGGAAGCCTCCTGCTCTGGAAGGAAAGAATCCGCAGCTTAATCACTATTGCAGAGCGGGAAACAGGGCAGGGAGTAGGAGACTTGAGTTTAGCTTTGGGAAGATGAATGAATGAATAAATAAACCATTATCAGCTGCCAACTGTGTGCCAGGCACTGTTAGAAGCAGAATAGTAATTTGTTTAGTCCTCACCAAAACCCTTTGAAGTAAGGTGTTATTTTTACCATTTGACAAATAAGGAAATAGGACTAATTAGTTGAAGGAGTTAGAATTCAAATCCAGACCATCTGGCGTGAAAGCCCTGCTCTTAATCACTATGTATATTGCCTGTAAATAATACAGTTTATAATTATTAATTGTCCTTTTCCTTTCTGTTGCAGGAAGGAGTTTTTTGATGGCTGCAAAGCAATAAGTGCAGACAGCATTGACGGAATCTGTGCACGGTTCCCTAGCCTCTTAACAGAAGCCAAACAAGAGGATAAATTCAAGGATCTCTACCGGTTTACATTTCAGTTTGGCCTGGACTCTGAAGAAGGGCAGCGGTCACTGCATCGGGAAATAGCCATTGCCCTGTGGAAACTAGTCTTTACCCAGAACAATCCTCCGGTATTGGACCAATGGCTAAACTTCCTAACAGAGAACCCCTCGGGGATCAAGGGCATCTCCCGGGACACTTGGAACATGTTCCTTAACTTCACTCAGGTGATTGGCCCTGACCTCAGCAACTACAGTGAAGATGAGGCCTGGCCAAGTCTCTTTGACACCTTTGTGGAGTGGGAAATGGAGCGAAGGAAAAGAGAAGGGGAAGGGAGAGGTGCACTCAGCTCAGGGCCCGAGGGCTTGTGTCCCGAGGAGCAGACTTAATGGCTCTGTCCCAGGAGCAGCAGCAAGGATCTGCCAGCTGCCCTGCAGCCAACAGAGGAATTGGACCATTTTGGAAATTACTGAAGATCCGGATATTTTCTACTTTACACCTTTCTCTGCCTTGTATCTGAAAGGGCTCTAAAATGCTGTATCATGTTTTAGGCACTTTCTTCATTTTTTTGGTTATTTTGGTTATTTCCTTTTTGGGGGGGATCTCCCAGAATATTTGAACCTGGTTACATGTTGTGTATTTTTTTTGAAGCCTTCAGATAGAATAAGCCTGCCATTTCTTGCACAAATTAGGTTTTTTGTTTTTGTTTTTGTTTTTGTTTTTCCAGTAGGGGAGGGCATAGAGCAGGGAGGGGGATGGGACTGTTAGGTTGAATTAACATTACAAAATGATGCAGTGCCAGATCTCAGTTTTGCATATTGTTTTTCAGGGCAGGTCTGTACTGTGTGTAGTGCTGTTTACATGGTTGAATTTAGGTTGTAATAATTATTTTTAAAGATTTACACAGATTTTGAATAGCAGTGTTAACTGTTAACCACATTGCATTAATTCCCAGGCGATTTAGACTCTTGGAGAGCCAAGGCCAGCCAAGAGCATGTGTAGTCTGGTAACAACCCCCTTTTAAGCTAATTTATCCAGAACCCTGATCTCCCTCACTTCTTGCTCATTCCTTCTTTGACCTATTGCATTTCATGTTGAGTTTTTCCATCAACATGCTGCACCTGTCAGTCAAGTGAGCATTTTTTAAGAACATGTGTTGTACTGAGAACCACTTAAGCATTGAATGCAGAGAAAGCAGTGCTACCTCAGTTTTGCTGGAAGTAGACTTCTTTGATAGTTTTCTTTCTTTGATGAAGTTTCTGTATTTTCATGTTGTAAGTGGAAATACTTTTTTTTGTTTGTTTGTTTCATTTACCTTGGAGCCAAAGTTTCTGTTCCTGGTGGTCGGGAAACTGCCTGCCGGCCAACTGACTTGAAGGAAAACTGTGGTATGGAGCTCTGCTTGAATTTTTTTTTTTTAATATTTTTATTTTTTTCTTTGAATATCATCAGCTTACTTGTCTGGCAAGGGCAGAAGCCTGGGGTTGGCCTGAACTCTGCCAAACAAATATCAAAGTGTATTTAATAGTTAAATTTGTGCCCTTTCCCTTCTTGCTGCACCCATGTTGTCACTTAACCCCCAGGAGTTATTTATTATCTTTTTGTTAAAGTCAGGCTCATTTGGGGTAATGTGATGACTGTTTAGGTTTACATGACCCTCCTCTCCTTTCCCTACCCCCAAATATGTATATATACATATATAAAATATGTATATATTTTACCTATATAAAATATATATATATACACATATATGTATCTATATTCCTTTGTTTCTTTGCCTGCTTATACTGGCCATAAAAGAGGGAGCTGCCTTCAATGTATAAAGTATAAGAAGAGTGCCAGGGAAAGCCATAATGGAGGCTTTTGGATCTGAATTTGGACCATTTTCACTAAAGAGAACATGAGTTTTGCTCAGCCCTTTCCTCACAAGAGGGAGGGCCTGGTTCCCCAGACTTCTCCACGCAATCGCTTCATAAGGCCAGCTTTGGCCAGACTGCCGCAGGGGCCTGAGGAACTGACTCTGGTCCTACCTGGTTTCAGTTAGAGGGTCCTCCTGTTATTTTTCCATTTAAAAAGTATGTCCTCAGAAAACTGTACTGGAAGGATGGGTGGCAGGAACTTGTATAGTTCAGCTACCAACACTTTGGAACAGATTAAAAAGGGAATCTTTTAAATAAAAACTTATAAAAATATTTATACTCTTGAGGTAATGAGACTTTGTCTATTAAACATTTGGAGGTTTTTCCCCTAACCTAATACCCCGCTGTGTCCCAGGTATGTTTCTCAGCCTGGGCAGGAATTGCATGTTTTGAGTTCCATTGTGAGCAGCCTTATAGCTCTGGGCTCCCACCTTAAGGGTTATTAAATAGTTTTGGCAGTCAGTATTTTTCTAAAATTGATATTGACTATAAGGAACATACTTGGAATTTTTTTTTTTTTTTTTAAATCCTAAACCTGACAGTTCCTCCTTCAGAGGGGCAAATGGGAAACTTTAAGATCATTCACGATATAGTACTGCTAGAAAGCTGGAGGGGGTCTTGGGCCAGATGCCTGGCTTCTGTTCTAGCTAAATAAGGCTCTGGAGTAAGTCTCCAGGGGTTCCAGCAGGTTCTGTGGGATCAGCTGTAGCTGGGTACCCAGACTGAGGTTTTAAAAAGACTGCTGTTTCATTAAGCCGTTTGCAACTCATTTTCCTCGGTTCTGGATTGGGTAGTGGTTGACTGAGGGGAAAGGCAGGCTGCACTTGGCCAGGTAAGGCCCTTCCCATCCCAGATCAGGGTGTATCAGAGAGAGGTGCGCAAAAGAGGGAGGCAGCCCAGGACCCTGAGTAGAGAAACTAGGTTCCTTCCTCACCCTTTAAGAAGACATTCCGTGCATTACGTGTACTAGAGTGGGTGGATTTTGTTGTTTTTTAAATTAACTATTTAGCCTCCTCATCCCCCACCAAAAAAGCCATTTAGTTATTTTTTGGTTATATTGATCCATTGCAAATGAGAAGCCAGAAAAGGGAGCAGTCAGGGAGGAACTTACAAGTTCCTTCCAAGTTTGAGTATTTGATGTCCAGCAAAGATTTCAAGCTTCTGCAGTCGCTCTGGGCCAATGCTTGACTCTTTCATGACCACAAGAAACGCAGTTTTTCTGCAAAGGGATCCAAGGTGAGGTGTGTGTAGGGTTTGAAGTTATACTTCTGGGAAATGAAAAGCCTTGTTCCCTTCAACCTAGAAATAGGTTTGCCACTTAATGAGTGGTAAGTCTGTGTAAGAGGCTGAATGTGTGCCCCTCAGGTAAGCCAGTACACTCCTTGCTTAGCAATAGAACATCAGGGTGATGTGGAGAGGGGCAGGATGTGGATGCCACTTTGGAAATTGGCAACATCTGAGGACGACAAAAACTGTGTGTTGGGAAATAAGAAACAACTCGGTTTTGACAAATGGCTTTGTAAGCTTTTGTGATGTTTCTTTAGCAATTTATTAGAAAGATGGTGTGAGATAACGTGCTGCTTCATTGAATTGCTCTTTCCCCCATCTTTGCCAAATCTCAATGTATCATTCTTAACCCTACCTCCTGTAAGCGGCTTTGCTATGCTTCAGCTCGTCGTCTCAGCAGCTGAAGTGCTGCCTACCTGTGTGAGTTGGGTCCAGGAACCCATGTCTGCCCCCTGATAAGGGAAGATGAATCTAGAGCTGGGTAAAGATCTAAATTTTAACCAAACCCGTGGGCCCAGGAAAATAACAATTGAAAACATACAAGGCAGTGTTTTCAGTATTAAACTTCCCCAAGGAAGGCACAAACTAGTCTTTTTGGAAAGGGAGAAAGGATTAAGCCACACAGTATTAGTCTTTGAAGCAGTACTGGTCTCCAGGGGCTGGTGCTGAATGCTGGAGGCTGCAGGGTGTGGGACCCCATAGTACACTTGATGGCCTCATGTGCTACATACTATGCCAAATTGTATTGAACAGTGGTGGGAAGTTACTGGGATAAGAACTTGTCTAAAAGTTTACAAACCAAAACAGATCTGTTAGGTCGGTGCAAAAGTAAGTTTTGGCCATACTTTATGTATGTTTTTGCCATTAAGTATGGCAAAAACCACAATTACTTTTACACCAACCTATATATTTAGGAGTGTTTGGTTTGCCAGATTCCAAATGAGGTCTTCAGTGCAGTGAAGCCCAAAAGGTAGACTCAGTTATGCAATTATAAGGTTAAGGCATGGAAGAAAGCTGCTGCTAGGTTTTTGTTGCCTTTTACTTGACTGCTTTGCTATTTTTCTTGTCTCTCATGTTTGGTTAGCTATGACTTGAGCATCTTGGTAACTGACAAAGGTCTTCCTTAGGGGACTTGAACATCTTGGTAAATGATGGGTCTTCCTTGGAGGAGGACTCCAGCAGTATCTTGTTTAAATGACTGAAAGAACTATGAAGGTTGTTGAATTGTGTTAATTGGGACTCATTGATGAAATGCGACATTGATCCTCCTCTTACTCCACAGTGTGTTTTCAGATCATATAAAGGTTCCCATCCACCCCCCTTCAGAGTTTATTCCTATGATAAGCTGTAATTGCGTATCCAGTTTAAACTGGACTGGGACTGCATGTTGGTGAAGATCAGCAGGGGTTTTCACCCTTTTCGAAAGACGAAATAGATTCTTGAGCACTGGTTGCAGAAGCCAAAATAGTTCAAATAGCTTTGCATAACCATTGGGTTCTGCTTCTGATTCAGGTGCTGGGCATCATGTCCTCCCTATTCTTCTCTTCTTGGAAACCCAGCCTATCTCATAGATACCTACTTCTGCCACCCATCCAACTTCCCTGCTCCTTTCAACGCAAATCTTGGATATTGCCAAAGGAAGCCATTCAGCAGCTGCTGGGGTTTTTCATTCCCCCGACACGCATACATTTGCTCTGGGAGAAGTGTCTTCCCTCTGACCCTGGTCCCCAGCTCCGTCTGTGATTAACTGCTCTTACCTGTTGCACTAATGAATATGACTCTAGGTTTTGAAGGGGGAATGTGAAGCAATAGGCAAATGGGGCTTGGATGAATTGGTCCCACAGATATACCCTGCCTTAAGCCGCTGAGGTGATGAGTCCACTGCTCATGTGACCCTCCACCTTTGTGGATCCCTCTTGGTTTGTGACCAGTGTGTCTGTTTGTTGAGGTTGTACAAACTTGACAAAAGTTAATACTTTTGTTTGTATTCTCTGCACTGTTGCACTCTCCAAATGGCCCCTTGAGTATTTTTATTGACTTGTTACACACATTTTTGTCTTTGATGTCTACATTTTTTCCTTTAATGTTTTTTATTTGGACGGTTACCTGCTGTTGGATTTAATAAATTTGTTTACTTGATTATTGATATTTCTACAAAAAAAAAAAAAAACAAAAAAAACAGTGACTTTATTCTGGGGCAAAATTTACCTACTGGGAGCTTCTACCAACATAATATTGAGTGACAATTTTTATTCTTTGAAAAACAATCCAGATAAGTACAGGATCCTCAGACTCCAAACATGGGTGTTAACCTCCCACATACCAAGCTTAATAGAGTGGCTTTTGAGGGTCTTAGTGCTGAGAGGCAAAGAGCAAATAAGTCTTCACAGGGCCACTGCCTAAATAGTCTTACCTTAGCAACTAATGTGAATTCTCACGAGGAATAAAAAGCGAAGTTGAGCATTGTGTTAAATGCATGACCCCTAGATTTAACAGTATGGCAGTGATTAAGGCAAAGGAAACGAGCTGTATCTGGCTTAAACTCAAGTGCCACTGCTGTGTGACCTTTGGCAAGTTAGTGAACCTCTAAGTTTCCTTTTACTCATCTGCAAAATTAAAAGGCTTTTGCTTCCATCAGAGTGCTAGAATTTAAAAGTCTTGATAAAGTCCCAATGACACATAAGTGCTCAAACATTACAAGCTCTTTTAAGGTTGTCCAAAGGAATGTTAGGTGAGTAATGCAGGGAAACCAGAGAATAAGAGAGGGGGGTTGGCATGGTCATACATGACCTTTCACAAGTCACAGCCCCTCTTAGGGGCTTAATTTTCCTCTGTGCCAAATTGGGGATGGGGGAAGAAGCTCAGACTAACGCGATCCCTGTGATTCCCATCTGCCTCTTAACACTCTAGATGTATGATGATTAGACCACTTAAGACCCTTAGCTTCCTTCCATTGTATTTTCTGCCTACTTGTTTACATTCAGGAAAGCTCTTGAGTGGTCATCTTACACATTTCTTTCATGGAGGCCCTGATGGCCTCCCCAAAGATTCCCAGCCTCATGTTGGTATTTTGTAAAAATAAATAAGTATGGTGGTAGGAGTAGGTGTACTTTTCAGTTGCAAAGGCTCTGGAAGTCATGTCTACATTCTCTGATTATGGAGAGGTTTCTGAGATTTCCTCAATGAACTGGAACTCTTTCTCTTCCTCTGTCATTACTAAGGACAGGACCCGGTGGGGGCTGGAAGGAAATCTAAGGGGTGATGTTTTCCTCACTTAAAAAGTATGCCTCTAAAGCATTCCCCAGTTGGCTCGTGGGCTTGTTTCTTCTGTGCTTTGGCACTTCTGCGTTACGGAGCCCAGCCAGAGCCTTATACATAGGTTTGGGGAATAAAGTGGAAGGATACTGACTTCGGGGCTTGTATAGAGCCTGGGCTATTCAAAGTGCTGCCGTCACAGGCTGTATAGATTACAGCTAAAATCCAATTTTCAATTAGATGATGGGCAAACAACTTCACTTAGTTACCAGATGAGCTTAACTGCACATGGAATGCTTTCTAGCAAGAAAGGTGCACTGAAGGTAGTGCTCGGGGTCGGAGGAGTATGAAAGTTGCAACACTGGCTTCTTCCCTCCTTTCAAATCCAGTTGCTGAAGCACATGGCTGGATTGGCTCTGGGAGTCATCCTTCTAGCTCTCAGTTTTGATGTAGGTCAAAAAGGGTTAGTCTGCCTGATAAGATTAGGGAGCTTGCCTAACCTTTCCATTTCCTTTCCTTTATGTCAACTTCTGAGGATGCCCTGTCTTAAAAATATAAGGCTCCTACCTGAGTTTAATCTTCTGTCCAGTGTTCTGACCCTTATCCCATCTCTTGACTCAGGAGTGCTAAAAAAGTCCTGGTGGAATGTAGCAGCACCAGTGCAGTCAGCAGCAAAGCATCTGAACTCTACAGTGTTTTGTAATTCATGCTGATGGGTACTCTCCATGGGCCCTGTGCTTATCTGGGGTGGTGCTGCTAAAACTGCTAGTACATTATAGAGCTATACAATAGTGTGGTACTACTACATGACAAGACAGCAGAAAACATGAATACTGGCCCTAGTATACACGTGGACTTATATGATAAAGGAGCCTCGTCCTTTATTGGGTAAGTAAAGCTAGATAATTGGGTAAAATTATCTAAATATTTGGGAGTAAGTTATTACATGCCAAAATAAATTCCAAGAAAAATAAGGCTATGAAGTATAGACATTAAATCATTAGAAATATATAAACTTGTCATTGGATCCAAAGATCAGTCAGGGCTTTCTAAGCAGAAAAGCAAATAGAAGAAATCACAAAAGACTAAACATAAAATGATGTACCTTAAAAAGCAAACTAAAATTTTGTAATAGTTTATAAATGGACACTATAGTGAATCCATAAGGTGCTCTTAAATCAGTATGGAAAAGGACCTGGCTTCCCAACAGAAAAATGGCAAAGGATATGAACAACTCACTTAGGAAAAATAATTTACCAAAAAGCTTCTGGGGAAAAAAGCAGGATGCCAATCTAAAGGGTATTCAAATAAGTAGAATTAAATATACAATGAAAAACTTATATTGGCAAAAATTTGAAGCAAATCTATGCTAGTAAACAGTAAAAGCCTTTCTGGAGTTAAAAGCATGTGAGATTTCTTCCTAAAAAATCTCCAAGGATGTATGTGCAAGGATATCACCAGCAGCATCATTTGGAAACAACTTTAATGTCAACAAAAGGGACTGCTTTAGAAATTATGGCATACATCAATGTTAGAATGTTATACTCTGCTTTTGAATAATAGAATTTCTATCATCATGGAAAAAGTTGATCGATTATAAAATATTGGCAGTCATTGACCATTGATGGTGGGATCAGTTGTGATTTAAAGTTTTCTGTATTTTTCAAATTTTCATTAATAGGTTTCCTTTATAATAGGGAAGAGGTTATTTACAGAAAGGGGGGCAAAAGGAAATGAACAACCCCACTATGGGCAAGGAGACCAGAAAATGGGAGTAATGTGTTCGAAGCCTAAACCATGAGTTCCGTAAAAGCCCTTGGAGTTGCTTTTCCTTCATAAGAAGCTGCTTCTCCAGCAGCTGCCTTGGCAGCTCTGCACTGGCTGCCTAGAAGGGTGTGGGAGGAAAAATGCACAAACGCACTTATGAATGGAATGTGTGTTTTGCAAGAGGCCAAGTTGGCAGCTTTGGCTTCCAAAAGGTGGAGCATCAGGCGAAAGAACAGAGTGTGCAGACTGAAGTCTCAGAGGCCTTGTAGTGCAGGCCCATCTCTGCAGAGTTCTGGAGTTGGATCCCTGGGGAAACCTCCAGCCCTACCCTTTCTCCTAAGAAAAAGATGGCCTTGGCTATTCTTGGGAGCAAGTGGAGTGCTCTTGGTACAGGGAGATGATCCTTAGTAAAATAGTATGTCATTTATTCAGCACTCAATCTTGACTTTTCCTAGTTTAATCCTCATAACCTTATGAAGTACTAATTTTCCCCATTTTAAAGGTGAGGAAACAGGCCCAGAGAGGGAAAATAATTCACACATAGTGCATTACTGTGTCATTTTCCACAAATGTCTCAATGATCAAAAGTAGTTATTTCCTCATTTTACACAGCTGTGGAAATAGCCTCAAATGAGGTTAAGTGACTTGCCCCAAAATACTCAGGTGTGTGTGGGAGGTGAAGCTCCAACCCAGGCCTGTTCATATTCAAGGCAGGCACTTAATTTGTCTCTGAAGACTTCAACCTCAAGAGGTAAACAGCAGCTAAGCTCTCACAGCTTTGGAGCTCAGCTGGGCAGGAAGGAACCCAACAACACTTGTCAGCTTCAAGTTCTCAGGGCCTTGCAGCAGAAGTTGGCAGTTCACCTAGGGAACTTTCCTCCTGATGAAGGGACTTGAATCAAGTTGCAGTGTCTGACCCCAAGTCAAGCTCTTCAGTTCTGGTTCCATATAGGGTCAGATCTTACAGAAGCTACATTTAAACTTTCATATAGGACCAGATCTTATGAAGCTACATTTACAGGAAACACTGCTCCAACTGCCCAACCCTAAGAGTTAATTTTAAGTAGAATTATCTTTTTCTTCTTTTCTTCTCCTGACAGCAGCTGTTAAGAATTATTTTCCAATTATAAAAGCAATGTATGTTGAATGTTTAAGAAAAAAATCAAGTCTACAACAGAAAAGCATCTGTTAAAACCTAATTTGTCAATGCCACTAGCCATAGATAAATACTGTTAACATTTTGGCATATAGCCTTGCAGGTTTTGTTAGAAGCCTATGTAGAACTTTGTATATTTTCTCCTGCAAAAGTGGACTCAAACTACATGCTATTCTGTATCCCTCCAGACTTCATACAACAAATAATATACAGTACTGTGAATACATAATCTCACTAATCTGTAATCCTCTGGGATACATACCATTATTCCAGACACAGAAATGTTAAGTAATTTATTCAAGTTCACACAGCTAATGATTTAAAAAGCTGGGATTCAAAGTCAAGCATTCTGGATCTAGAGGTCTACTTCCTCTTCTTGAAGATCTCTTTCACTGAAGATTTTACTCTCTCACACACACACACTTTAGAACTGGCTACCTATAACTCCATTGTAATAACCCTGTGATATCTCCTTCATTACATGTTTTTGTGTAACGATCCTAGTACCCTAGGACAATGCTGTAGAATTACAGGGTCTCAGTGTATGGAGCAATTTACGAGGTTTTTGGGTATGATACATACTGTATGCCAGGTTCATCTTTTCTGGAGGGCAGTTAATATCTCTACTAGTTTTGGAATTGGGTGCCTATGCCCCATGTCCTTTCCAACACAGATTGTTACCAGTTTGAGAGTTGATTAAAACGGCTTTTACTGAATTTCAAGTTTCCAGTTCCTAGGGGGAGAGATGGTGTGATGGAGGCACCTACTGGTGAAGGCTGGCACTGCAGTCATGTTCTGAAGGGAAGGATTCCTAAACATGGAATGGAAGGGGTTTCCAGGGCTGCTTAAAAAAACTAAAAGAACCTTCCACTCCACTGCCTGGTGGACTTGCCAGATTTTTCAGTTCAGTCTGTCATTGCCCTTCAATTTTATAAGAGCTGTCAATAAGAAAACAGTTTAAAGAAATTTGCTTCACAGACATTACAACTTTGACAAATTGTCTAATTGGCTGGTTTTCTGCAGAGAAGTCAGTCCTCTTGGTTTCCTTACCAGAATATACCACGTAACAGGGGTGCTACATGGAGTGAGTACCTGCTACCACGCCTATGCACATAAACTCAATGACACAAAGAAACAATCTGTGGACACCCCCATACTATGCTTGAACTTTAGGCATTTATTGAAAACTTATACATGCCATATAAACAAACTAAACTCTTTTAGCTGCTATACCAAGTTTCCACAAAAGCTGTCTGCTGGTTGGAGAGACTACAGCCTGACCACATTCTTTGCCATTGCCTACAAGGCGTAAGAAATGGCACATGGAAACATGGCAGGCCGACTCATGATCACAGGCCTGAGATGGTGCTTTCTTCTTCCTCTTTTATTCCCATCAGTCCTAGGCCAGAGAGTGAACCATGAGTGCTGCAATAAATAAGAAACAAAGGTAGGTTTTTATCCATAAGGTTGAATGAATGGCTATAAATGCCTAGTTAGAGAAGATGTTTTTTCAAGTACGTGTGTGTGTGCCATGGGGCAAGGGCAGGAAGGTTTATGGAAAGCTGCCTGCTGAAGATAGTTTAATGGAAAAAGCACTGATGAGTCTCAGAGGTCTAGATTCAAATCCTACCTTTACCAATTAGGAGATATGAGGCATATCTATAAAACTATGAAATATTTAAATTACTATCTCACAGGGATTTTGGTGAAGACTATCGGCAATAGCAAACATACACTGAGCACTTACTACATGCCAAGAATTGTTCTAAGCACTTGTCTCATTTAATCCTCAAAACAGCTCACTGATGTAGGTACAAGTGTTATCCTCATTTAAAAAATAAACAAGCTCATAGACATTATATGACTTGCTCAAGTCACAGAACTGTTAAGTGACAGAACCAGGATATCAATAATAGCAATCTGTCATTAGAGCCCTTACAAGTTGCTGTTAAAGCGTCTTAGTCTTTGTTCATTCCATACTTTTGTAGCACCTGCTAGGTGCTGGGGGCTGTTTAAAAAACATTACAAAACATTAACTTATTTAATAATGTTTGTTGTAAAAAACCTGGCATGGTGCTTTGAATTTAAGAGCCATTTATTAGTTCCCTGCCACCTTGTAATTCATATTCATGGAACTGGGTTAGAGTTGAGGAGCTCTCTGAGGCAAAGCAGGTAGAAATGAGGAAAGACAAACACAGAATCTGTCTCCACCTGATGTCTGAACTTAAACATTCAAACACTAGACTTTTGTGTATGGAGAACTAGAGCTTTGAGGGCAGGAGAGTTGCTTTGGAGTCAGACACACCATCAGGGTACAAGTCCTGACTATGCACTTACTAGCTATGTGACCCTAGGAAAATTGCTTAATCTGAGACTTTTTCTCCACTTGTTAAAGATTCTAACAACCTCAACCAAAAATGCATATAAAGGTATTTAGCACAGTACCTGGGTTTGATAAATTACTGTTGTTTTCAATATTAATTTAAGAAGCTACCAAAAATGTAAGGATTAAGAGCTGCATCAAGACCCTAGCCTAAGGAAACCTTCTATTGTTTTTGCTATTCCTTTTTTCCCAGTGTTTCCCAAGAGTATCTGCTGCCATCACGGACACAGCTGCACAAACAAGGCCCAGAGAAGTCAGTCACACAGCAAGCCTCCACAGCTTGAGGAAATGCATGCTACTGCTGCTGAGTTTGATCAGTATGTCCACAGAAATCAGAATGTGACTTTTAAAGGACAGGAGTAGTTTAGGTTCTTCACCACAGGATTTGCTGCTTCCAGAGGGGCTTAATTCTCCTAACTTGTCAAACAAACTCAGACAAAGACTGAGGATCTTTGTCTCAGTCACAACTTAAGTGTTTTTGCTCCCTGACCCCAGCACTTCCTCCTCTGTCTTCACCCTCTGTGGAACATCCAGGAAGAACAATGATTTGGGCTACTCTTGACTTAGTTTACCTAAACAATGGTGGACTGCAATTTAAGTATTCTGCGTGGGAACATGAAAACCCAGTCCACCTACCACCATAACACTGCCCCTAAGGAGCTACCTAAGGACAAGTCTCTCTGTTCCCCAGAGCCCACATCTTAACCAAAAAGCTTTTACTGGCAACTTGTGGTCACTTTTTACCCTGTTCCTATTAGCTTACCCACAAGCCTGTTTAAAGTATGTTGGTCTAAGATGTTTTTTTCCCTCTCAATGTAAACACCTAATACTTGTTTCTGCTTTTCAGAGAAAGCAGTTCTTTCAACCTACCCAGTAGGTAGACCATCTCCCTAATGGCCCTCAGATGCATGTTACAATAACTTTATGCTAGGAAATGAATTTCTGATCCAGCTTCAAGGCCAGAGGTATTCATGCTCTTATCAACTCCTAGAATGTCAGAATTTTTTTTTTTTCTTTTTTTGAGACAAGAGTCTCAGTCTGTAGCCCAGGCTGGAGTACAGTGGCGCAATTTCAGCTCACTGCAACCTCTGCCTCCTGGGTTCAAGTGATTCTCGTGCCTCAGCCTCCCAAGTAGTTGGGATCACAGGCACACAACACCAAACCTGGCTGTTTGGTTTTTTTTTTTGCTTTTTTGTATTTTTGGTAGAGACGGGGTCTTGTCATGTTGCCTAGTCTGGTCTTGAACTCCTGAGCTGAAGTGATCTGCTCGCCTTGGCCTCCCAAAGTGCTAGGATTATAGGCATGAGCCACTGTACCTAGCCAGATGTCAGAATCTCAAGGAACTTTTTAAAATTAACACAATCCAAGGTTTTCAGACTGTTCAAAAAAGCTACCATCTTTCCCTCCCTCCCCCAATATACACTCATTCATTTAGCTGCCCACTCACTCATTCCAAAACTGCCCGTCTCTATGCTTTAAGATTTAATATTGGTTTTTCTTTAAAGAAAGGGTTTACAATTAAAAGGGTTTGAAAATCAATTGATTTATTCCAAATCCCTCATGTTACTGAAAGAAAATTGAGATCTATAGCGGGGAAGTAGCTTGGCCACTTGTCAGATGAGACAGGTGATAAAGCTGGAACTAGACTCAGAGTCCTGCTCCAGTATTCCTCAGGCTTAGAATCAGCAAACCAGGCCCTGTTATCTCTTAAAACAGAGGTGTCAATGGAGAAAAAGGTACAGAAGGCAGGAACACATTCCTCATATGCGGGGAGGTTACACCTAAGCCTAGGGCTTGTTCTGAGACTTTACTTTTTTTACTCAAGTGGGGTTAGCAGCTACTTCTTTCTCCAGAGAGGAGTAAGAAGGACATAAGACCCCTGGTTTTAACTGGGGATAAGTTATCTCCCTGAGGGACCAATATATGTAGTTATACAAGAGCATATAAATGTGAAATGGGAATACAATGCCTATCTTTTAGAACTGTGAGAATTAAAGAGGTGATTCATGTAAGTCCTCATTATGGACCTAAACATCAGCAAAAGGCTTTTTCTCTAAGAACAGCTGAAATCCAGGGGACAGAGTCCTGAAGGGATACCCTTTCCAGTCCATACCTCTTGGTTCCTGGCAGCAGGATGAGGCAGAGAGTGCCTGGGCACAAGCTGTTGTAGAGCTTTCCAATCTTCCGGCCCCAGCGCCAGGCTGCTATCTTTGGGTGGTCCAGTTTCAGAGTCTGGGATCAAAGCCACGTGTCAATACTCAGCCAGAACACTCTCTCGTTACCTATGGAAGGGCTGCAACACTCTTCCTCCGGGTCTAAGGCTATGGGATTCCAGTAAAGGTTCCAGACAAATCCCTTGTCTAACACTGGAGCCCACACTGCAGGTTCTCTGCTGACCCAGCATCCCCAGGCCTCCAAGTTGGTTTAAGACTTCCTCAGGGGAGGACGGCTACTATCCTTTCCTCCAGATGGGTCTTCTAAGACCCCAAGCTAGGGGAGCCACATTGCTAATGAGGGGTCTAGTCTGGCTTCTGCCATTAAGTCTCTTTGTGACCTTGGGCAAGTCACTTACCAACTCTAGCCCCTACATTTCATCTGCTAAGTATGAGAGATTAGACTAAGACAGGGTTTCCCAAGCTTCAGCCATTCACCTTCTACCTCCACTCTTCTGCTTGTATATCCCTCTAACATTTTTCCATAAAGTGAGTTAATTTCTTCCTTAGCCTTGTCTAACTAATACCATCCACAAAATCATAGTCTCAATGTAGTAGCTGTATACTTTAACAAGTATTAGCAAAACAAGTCCCTTCAGATGTCTTAGCTATAATAAAAAGACAAATCCATAATCATAAAAGTGAAAACAAAACAAAAAAAAGACCATCTATGACAACCACAATTTATCTTGTGTATGTACCACACTTTGGGAAACCCTAGACTAGATCACTGAATAATTATCCAGCTCTCTGACTTCCTGCCTTGGTCCCTCAAAGTCCCTTGGAGATCTGGAAGACTAAAAACCTAAGTTTAGCAGGTATGAAGGGGGCGAAAGTATGAGAGATCTGGGAGAAAAGGAGATGTGGCCAGGACTGGAAGAAGCTGGAGAGTGAAATAAGACTGAGGGCCAGAGTAGAAAAAAAAAGAAAAAGATTAAAGGATTAAGTGTCACTGAGCAGGACTCTCCTGACATCTTCTCCAAGAAACCTTCACTCACTCACCTGCAAGGCCTCCTGTTCAAAAGGGGGAGGTACAACACGAAGCCCTGCGGGCCTTCTTGATTCAGGTGGTAAGCCTCTGAGCCAGGCATGGAGGTGCCTGGGGGTTAGAGCATGCCTGCCTTTCAGCTTCCAGTCCTTGCCTGTGAGAATGTTGAGGGCCCGCTGGGCACTGTCAAAACTTTTGAATTCTGAAAGCAAGAACCCCCATCTTGTTATTAAGGGCCGAGAAAGTTGATCCCATCCAAGCTGCCTGGCCAGGGCCATAGGAGAAGGACAGAATCAGGAACTGCTGCCCTGGTCCAGCCCAGGAGGTGAATCTTCCCTTCTCTGACCTCATGTTATTACCATCCCCAGTTTCCTTCCCCAAAGCTACATTCGACAGCATAGACTTACTTAGGAAACAGTATTTTTTCTGCTTTCCATTTTTAAGATCTTTAGGCAAGATCACAGCTTCGAGGCCAAGAAAGAGGCGGGGCTCCTGCAACAGCTGTTCTTTGAAGGTTTCACTCACTCCAAACAGATATATAGAGCCTTGGTTTTCAGAATCTCCTTCCAGCTCATTCACGAGGGTCTCACAATCAAGCGTGAGCTCTGTCACAGGCCTCTGCACCTAACCAAGGAAAGTTGATGTTAGTGGTAGAAAATCAATTTAATCCTCAGGCCTGTTGGATACTAGCAAGTTTTTGCCATTACTAATAACTTCATTTTTCAGTTTCCTACACTTTTTCAGTTTCTTTCCTTTTCTGTAAAAGGAAACTAAAGATAACTGTCTCACAGAATTATGTTAGAGACTTAATTGATAAATACATACATATTTTCATGTAAACATATTCTCTTCAGTTTCCTGCCACCCACCCTTAATGAAATTCTGTTTATGTGCACAAGAAACTTCAAAATACCATCATTTGATCTCCCTGAAAGGTGAAGAAAAGGGCAACTGCAAAGAACCAACCAGAATAAACCATTGGGGACTTAAGTAGTAATAAAGAATGCAAGGAAGCCCCAAATCTATCACAGGATGATTTCTGACACAAATGAAAGCTGTTATATCTTCAGTCACTGCCAGCAGGAGAATGTCAGACTTGGCTGAAGACTTTCCATAACAAAGTCTTATGCCTGGGCCTCTTGAGGGTGTTTGCTACATGTCCTGGGGCACTATACATATAGGCTGTGGTAGGCTAGACCCGAGCAAAGGGAGCTTTCTCTTATCACCCTACCTTGATGCAGGTACCATCTACCAGAATACCATCCAAGGACTCTATGGCCAGCTGGGCTGCTTCTAGAACTTCATACTGTATACAGAGATGAGGCTGCAGAAAGACCAAGATTTCCTCACCATTGCTTTCCAGCTCAAACTGCTAAAGAAGGGGCTGGGGAAAGGATTCAAACTACAGTGGCCAAAGCCACCAGAATGGATGCCTTTGCTGTGCTGGGTTACACAGGTATTGATTGTAAACTGTCAACTTTAAATGGGATCACTAAAGTTCAGGAACTAGCTTTCAGACAATAACTAACTTTTGTCATTTAAAATGCAACTACCCAATAGGCTTTTCATAATATTTATTATGCATCACTAAAGTCATCACTGCAAGTCATGGGCAGAGATTCCCATTTGTCTGTCTTTTAGCTAAACTTTATAAGCTTGGGAAGGATAAGTTCTTCCACAGGATAGGCTACATCTTCAAATGGTCTGCTTTTCTGTTTGGTAACTCGGAGTAAGTAAATCTTTGTGATTATCTGAGCCGCAGCATCAATATGGAGATAAAAGCCTTCCCATAGGAAAGTTTCATGACACTGGACTTGGCAAGGGTTTCTTGAATATGACATCAAAGGCAGGCAACAAAATTAAAAATAGACAAATTAGACTTCATAAAAATTAAAACCTTTTGTACATCAAAGGACACTAACAGCAGTGTCAAAAAGCAACCCACAGAATGGAGAAATAGTTGCAATCACCTATCTAATAAAAGATTAATATCCAGAATGTACAGAGAACTCTTACAATTCAACAATAAAAAACCCAAACAACCTGATTTAAAAATAGGCAAACATTGCAGAGTAGCTGGAACTGAAAAAATAAATAAGAAAAAAAAAGGGCAAACAAGTGAATAGACATTGCAGTAAAAGATGTACAAATTGCCTACGACACTCAGCATCACTAATCATTAGGGAAATGCAAATCAAACCCAAATGAGATACCATTTCACATCCATTAGGAAGGTTATTATTAAATAAAATAGAAAACAAGTGTCAGTGAAGATGCAGATAAGTTGGAACCTTTGTTCTTTGCTGGTAGGAATGTAAAATGGTATAGCCACTGTGGAAAACAGGATAATGATTCCTCAAAAAAGTAAACACAGAATTACTATTTGATCCATCAGTTCCACTTCTGGGTGTATGCCCAGAAGAACTGAAAGCAGGGACTTGAACAGATACTATGTACAACCATGTTCATAGCAGCATTATTCATGATAGTCAAAGGTAGAAACAACCCAGAGTCAGGCACGCCTGTAATCCCAGGACTTTGGGAGGCCGAGGTGGGCAGATCTCTTGAGTCAGGAGTTCAAGATCAGCCTGGGCAACACAGAGAGACCCTGTCTTACAAAAAACTAGCCGGGCATGGTGGTGCACGCCTGTGGTCCCAGCTACTCAGGAGGCTGGGAGGTGGGAGGATTGC